AAGTAGCATATTAAAAACGTAGTGGATCCGAACAGTTCTTACACACAGAATCCCCACCCACACGCAGAAACAAAACTGAAACCTTTTTCTTTTCTTGTGACGACAGCGCCTCCTAAAGGAAGAAAGCAATGCCTCTTGTTCTTGCATTGGAGAGTTCAGTTTGTAACCTAGGACTTGCTTGTCCTCAGTGCACAGTTAGTAGATCAATCTGATACCATACATATTTTTTAGAAATGGTTTGGAAAATATTTGAACACCTTGTCTTAAAATGTTTTATTCATCGTGTTAAAATAAAATGTTCCATAATCATTTTTTTTTTTACTTTTCTTTTTTCAATTTTTCCAATTTGGGGGGGGGACAAAAAAAGGCTTCAGGAAAAAAATGGGGGAGAAATGTTTTTTTTCCAGGGGTTTTCCGGGCCTTCCCATCTCTAGCCCTGACCTGGGTAGACCAGGTTAACCTGACCTTGTCAGATCTCAGAAGCTAAGCAGGGGTGGTCCTGGCTAGTATTTGGCTGGGAAACCTCCAGAGATTACCAGGGTTGTGACCAGTGTTCCCTCTCAGCTGAGTTAGTGTGAGTCAGCTCACAGTTTTTTTCGCCTCCAGCTCACACATTTGTGTCTCAGCTCAGGAAGGAGGGCTCCAGAGCAAACTAACTGATGCCATAGCCAACTCGCTCGCTCACAACTTTAATGCCCGGTAGCTCATAAAGTAGGATTTTGGCTCACAAGATTCCACAGCTTAGAGGGAGCATCGGTTGTGACGCTGAACCGTTGGTTATAGTACAGCCCTAATGACCTGTGTAAAAAAGCCCTCCTCGATAATTCCGTTGGCAGAGTTTGTGGAAAGCCAGGAGGGTGGGGGACCCATCTCACCTCCCCAAGCAGGCCATTCCATAATGTGGGGGCCACAACGGAGCAGGCACAAATACGAAGAGTGGGTGATTTCGCCCACTTTCAGAGTGGCACTCCTCGGAGGCCCTGCTCAGATTAGCAAAACTGTCGTGGCAGAGGATAGAGGGGGAGACGGTCCCATAGATCGGTTGACCCTCCCTGGCCTGAGGGAGGCCAGGCTAGCTACTACCAGGGCCGGGGCCTTTTCAGTGGCGGCCCCTACCTGGTGGAACGAGCTCCCCGAGGAGATCAGGGCCCTGCGGGATCTCTCACAGTTCCGCAGGGCCTGCAAGACGGAGCTCTTCCACCAGGCATTTAATTAGGGGCTGCCGTAGAGCCCTGGCCTTGCGGTTTTGACATCGAGCCGATGGCCACAAGGAATTAGGAGCAGGAGAACATCTGGGAACTGGAAGTTCATTTTGAAAACAAGCCATCTAAGTTAGTATTTTAACTGCCACCAGCACTTTGTATTTGTTTTATCTGTTGTGTTTTAAATAAGTGTATGATTTTAACTGTGTTTATGCTTGTATGGAAGCCGCCCTGAGCCTGCTTTGCGGGGAGGGCGGGGTATAAATCTGATAGATAAAATAAATAAATAGGTAGATACGAGGGACCAAGGCCATGGAGGGCTTTGTCTGTGACAGCCTGTACCTTAAATTATGCCCAGCAACTGATGGGCAGCCAGTGGAGTTACTGCAGGATGAGAGTAATACGCATTCCCTCCTAGCTCCCAATAACAACCGAGCAACAGCGTTCTGTATCAGCTGGAGCCTCCGTGCTGAGTTCAAGGGCAGACCCACGTCGATTGCATTACAGTAGTCTAGTCCAGAGATGTGAAGGTCCCAGAAAAAAACCGGAAAAATTCAGGGGGGAAACGGGTTTTTTCCATTTTTTTCCTGAAGCCTTTTTTGGTTTTTTTCTGAAAAATTGAAAAAAGAAAAGAAAAGAAAAAAAATTGATTATGGAACATTTTATTTCAACATGATGAATAAAATAAAAAATTGATTATGGAATGTTTTATTTTAACATGATGAATAAAATATTTTAAGACAAGGTGTTCAAATATTTTCCAAATCATTTCTAAAAAATATGTATGGTATCAGATTGATCTAATTTCTGTGCACTGAGGACAAGCAAGTCCTAGGTTACAAACTGAACTCTCCAATGCAAGAACAAGATGCATTTCTTCCTTTAGGAGGTGCTATTGTCAGAAGAAAATAAAAAGGTTTCAGTTTTGTTTTTGCATGTGGGTGGGTATTCTGTTTGTAATAATTGTTTGGATACACTATATTTTTGATATGCTAGTTGTGATAATTTCATGCCAAGTAAAAATGTCCATCGTCATATTTTATGTTCCTAAAGTAACAGAATGACTTTCAGTCTAGAAAAGACAAAAGAAATGCTAATGTAGCATTTTTTCAATTTTTCCGAAAATTTCCGTTTTTTCCCGAAAAAAAATGGAAAAAAAACCCGGGGTTTTTTCCGAGCTTCAAAATTTCCGGAAATCTTACATCTCTAGTCTAGTCTCGATGTTACCAGGGTATGGATCCGTGTGGCTAGATGCCTTAGGAATGAAAATAATTGCCGGAAAGAAACCCTTTGATCCTGCGCGGGACACCTTGCCCTGCCTTTGCAAGGCTGCTAAAGGCATGTCAGAGAGAGATTACGGGACTAATACTGAATTTCCACAGGGCGGGAAGCAGTCCGTCTAACCCTTGGCTCCCGATGCGGTGCCTCCCTGCGTAGGGGAACCACTGAACCTCACACGGTCCCGTAATCTGCACCAACTCTCCTCTCCCTCCTCCAGGATCCCAAGACAAAGAAAGTCGCCGATTTGACTGTCAAGGTGACCGACTACGTCAATCCCGAACACCTGGCGGCTTTTGACAGGTAACTGCATTTCTTTCACTGCCTGGTGCGGGGAGGTTTGCTCTCCCGGGCCGTCTTCCAAGCAGCGGCTGGACAAACCCTCATCCTGAGACCCTCCAGAGCTGTAAAGAGGGGCTATGGCTGAGTGGTAAAGCATCAGCTTGGCATGCAGAAAGTCCCAGGTTCAATCCCTGGCATCTCCAGTTAAAAAGAACCAGGTAGGAAGTGATGCGAAAGACCTCCTTGGGGACTTTGGGTCCCCACGGGGGGGAAAAACGAGGGTATAAAGGAAAATCCATGTTTCCGGCCTTCTCAAGGCTGTTTTGGGCGGCTAGAGGGGAGCGGTGGCACAGTGGGTATATCCCACTGCCTTAACATCTGAACTGTGTCAGCTCAAGCCCTGCGCTGGTGTGAGCAGCCAGCCTGTTGTCCCCAGCTCATCGTCCACCCAGCGATTCGAAAGCTCCGGCGAGTAGATAAAATGGGAACCGCTCCTTAGCGAGGGCGGGCACGCCAATCTCCC